CCATATACCAGCACAGACGGTCTCTACGTGCTTGTGCTGATAATCTCAATGTACTATCACAAAATCAAACAATATCCGGTACAAACGATCTCCACGTGCCCCACTCATAAACATAAAACCATTGCAACATGGACTATCTCCACGTGCTCAAGCCTTACTCATATTCAATCTTATATTCATGCATGTGCATAATATAATATCAACTGATTAGCAGATGATGATGCATCTCATTTCAATCAAATATATTCATCTCATCGCAACATATATAAGCTCATGAAGAAAATATAAACACACAAAAAGTAACCAAAGTTCACCATATAAATGCTTGTTATCTCATTTACACGGTACAGGCATAAATGTTTGTTATCTCATTTACGTGGTACCCCTTTAGTATCAATTATCCTTAGATTCATTTAACTCACAAAACTTACCCTTCAAAGGATCTGTAATCTTAATTAGTTGCCTCAAACCGAAGCCCAAATGCCAAATTGTGAATTTGCCCTTCCACAATGCTTCTGAATAATAAAATTTATTATAGAGGTGTACAAAATCGAATTGAAAATCGAATTAAACCGCAAATCGAGTCAAACCGAAAAAAAATCCGACTAGTGGTTTGTTTGACTTGGTTTGGTGTTGGAAAAAAAAAACCTGACTATATTTGGGTTGGTTTGGTTTCAACTAAAATAAACCAACCCGAGACCAAGTCAACCCGACATTATATATGTAACTTTAAAAATTTTATTTTATACGTAAAAATATTTACTTTGATATAATTTTTAAATATTTCTTATACTTTTTCATAGTTTTTATCTTTTAATATATTATTTCATGTTTGAAAGTTAGAATTCCTAATGGTCCAATAAAGATTATAGTTCATAGGTGTTAGTAATCTATCTATATATAAAAGGAGCAGAAAAAATGACACATGTCAACACTACAAATTTTCAGTATTTTAAATAATTTTAAATAATTAATAATTAATATTATATAAATAAATATAGACACATGTCAATAATTAGAATTAGAACAACACATGTCAGCACGACAAAAAATAGGATTTTTAAATAATTAAAATTATTAATTACATGTAATAGGATTAAATAATAAACACAACTTTTTGTTTTTATCTTAAATTCGAAATTAAAATATTAAATTTATTTATTAAAGAATTACTTAAAATTAACGTGATATAATCATTTTATAATTTTAAAAATTTATATAAATAATAACTAAAAAATTTAACTATCTAAATCTGAAAAAAAAAAGAAAAAACATTGCAGAACATGAGTGTGATTATTAATTTTAATTTTTTTTTTTTTTTTTAAAAACAAAACAAATAATTGCTCCACGTTAGTCAGTGGATAATTTTAAGGAACAATTCAATTAGTGGATAATTTTAAGGAATAATTTCAAATTTAAAATTATTATAAAAATAAAAATTACAAACTTAACTAATAATAATAATAATAGTATTACTATTTTTCAGAAATGTCCCAAATGACAGTCACACATAAAATTCTTTTCCCGGTATCATTTTTTCTATTTTTATTTAAATAAATAAATTTCGGCAACGATTTTAAATGATAAAATCTAAAAGTGTTTTCAGTTTTGAAAGGAAAAAAAAAAAACTTGGGTTGTTAACCTTTTTAAGAATTGTGACAGTTATCTAATTTTACACTTCTTAAATTAAAAAAAATAAACTAAAAAAACGTGTAGTTGTTAAGCATCTCAAGACCTTTTTGTTTAATCAAAAAAATATTAGAAAAAATTAATAGATACATTATATCATATATATTTAACTATTAGGAAAAAAATAGAATATTTTTAAGTTTTTTAGTATGTGTATTTTTAAAAATGATAGAAGATTTTTTTACATACCGTTTTAAAATATAATATATTATCATGGTTATTTATACATGATTAGTTTTCTCGTTAACTATCTTACATTCGATCTCTTATATATATATATTAAATTAAGACACATCCAAGGAGGAACCATTCCTCCATTAGTGAAGGAGATTTTCTATGTATGTCAATATCCAATCAAATAATATAATACTGGTACAATTATTGGTCTGATGGTAAGTTATGCTTCTTTGAAAGAATTCTTTTCACGAAAAACTTACTTTTTATATTACAAATATTTCTAAAATGTTATATTTCTGATGGTTATCAGTGAATTGAAAATAGGGTGTTATTAGCAATGAAGAAGATAAAACAAGGATATTGATGTCAGGGCCACAAATTCTATGTTAGGAAAGGAAAAAATTAAATATATAATAGGGAGAAATATTTATATAAAATAATTTAGTAAGGAAATACTTAAATTAAAATCAGAAAAGGAACAAAAATATATATTAACTAAGTAATCAACAAAATTAATTTAAAATCTGAAATTAAAAATTAAAAACAATTTAAATCTTAAAATCTGTTTAAAGGAGAAGATTACTTATGCACGATGGAGTTTTTTAAAACATAATTCATATTCAATTAACAAAGTTAATTTATAATCTGAAATTTAAAATATTTTAAATCTGAAAATATTTCCATTTTAAACAACAAAAAAAGAAGAAGATAACTTTATCCTCTTTTTTTTTTTTTAAAAATTAAAATCATCCCACGTTTTAAAAAATAAGACGAATCTCTTCTTCTTATCCTCCTATATATTTTTGTATCTATTGTTTTTAATGTTTTATCGACTTTTAATAATTATATTATACCATCAGATTTTTGCTCGATATTGAGATAAAGAAAAATAGGAGTAAGTGACCCATGAAAGTGAAAAACATCCTTTAAGTTTATGTATCGTGGTGAATTTTTTTAGAGAATTAGAAAAATAAATGTAAGTTTTGATGCATTTGATATTTGACATATTAGAAAGATAAAGTATAATGAATATTTTATTTAAGTTGAATATTTGAATAAAATAAGTATAGTGCCTTTAATTATAATCTGTTAGCATCTCTGAAATAGTTGAAATTGTTACAAAAAATAATAGTTTGCATCGATTTGGCCAAGAATGACATTCATATTTTTATTTTTATTTTCAGTTTTCTGAGTGAAAGTTGAGAGGTTTAAATAAAAAGATTTGTCAATTAAATTTGTGTTTTTTTTAAGAGTATTATACTAATATACTATCAATAAAATAAAAAATTAAATATTAAATATTAATTAAAAATCTACATGCATCACAAAAAACCACGTGTCATTTTTAGGATAAAATTAGTTGTCATTGTAATTTTAAGTTATTGGTATTATTAAGTGCATAATACATTTTATTAGTTATTTTTAAGTATAAAATTATCCGCGCAACGCGTGGGCACATATACTAGTTATAATAAAGCTTAAATCAAAATTAAATTAATACTAATGCAAAAAGAAAATCAATTTGATTGAGAATGACAATAATATTGAATATTTGTTCTTTAGTTTAGAATAGGTTTAGACAATTAAAATACATAATCTAATTTTAATTTCCTTTAATATTTAGTCATGTAGCCAATACTTATTAAATTTATTTTAGCATGATTTAGTATTTTTGAATTGTGATCATTTTCATTATGACTTATTAATTTGTAATATTTGTTTTACGCGATTTCATTATTTTTTTTTTGTTGGATTTTTTAGTATCATTAATCATATCATATTTTGTGTTATTGTCTTAAGAAACACCTTAGATAGTTGTATTTTGGTAGGACTAAAGAAATATTTGAAGTACAAGTAAATTATATGTTTGTATGAACACTTTACCGGAAAAATCCGAAAATCCAAAAAACCTGAAAAAACCCGAGTTTTATTAGTTTGGTTTAGTTTATAAATTCAAAAATCCGACACAAATAGTTTGATTTGATATTTGTAAAACCTGAACCAATCCAGTCATGTACACCCCTATTTCAAATAATACATACTTCTCATAAGAATATGAATCTAATAACATTTATATTGCTATATTTATCATCAAATAAAAAAGTCCACCCCAACCCTAGAAGTCAAATCTGAAATATTATGTTCGCTCATAATAAAATAAACTCACACGTCGAATTTCAGCTACTGAAACAATGCTCTAAATTTGACTTGTATTTTTCGTCATCCCACTTCAGGCGGTTCCACCATTCTGATTTTCCTCTTATTTCTTTGATTTTGTTGGAGGTTTGAATAGAGAGAGGCAACTTCCTTATTCCATTGCATCCGATCACCTTAAGTTCCTCCAGGTGTTCCCACATACTCTCTGGCTCCCCAAACGTTCTTGAGCCGTCTTGTGCCAGTAACTTTGTCAGCCGATAACAAGAGGAAAGTGAAATTTCTTCCAAGTGCCTGGGTACAGAAAAAGCTCCACCAACATTAAAAAGACATGTTAAATTATCACAACTGAATACATCCAGTTTGCGTAATTTAGAAAATCTTAGACCCAGAAAATGACCGAAATCAGAAACACTCTTTAAATTATGTACAGAAGAGAGAATGAGAATTTCCAGATTTGGCAAAGGATCATCAAACTGTCCACTTCCTTCTATCGATGGTCCAAAATCACAAGAGCAGCGCTTTATGTTTAGTGATTTTAATCCATCAAAACTGTTGTTCCGAATGAACTTCGTGAGGCCCATGCATTCTTCCAAGTACAAATCTGAAGCAAACTGCAACAAGCTTGAGAGCGAGTCTTTGTTATTGAAAATGTCAAAATGTGAGAGGCATATCGCCCTTGTTGACTTGTTGTATGGTACCTCTTCAGGAGTTTTAGTATTCCCAACTGTAATGTGAAATGTTTTCAATCTTTTCATCCAGGTGTGGTCACTTTTCAAAATTGAAATTGATGAGCTATCCAAGTAAATAAAAAGTGATGTCAGATTGGGTAGATGTGATATCTCATCAAAAGAAGTTGCTTCAACAACATCTCTACGTCTTGTCAATGGATGAAGTAGCTCAAGAAATAGAACTCTTCCTGCAACATCTCTACGTCTTATGGGTAGATGTAACATTTCAAGCCTTTGTAACTCGTAGGAAACCCCAGGTCGATTCTCTTCATAAACTTACCTAAAGGCATATTTAATAGCCTCAGATTTGTCAACTTGTCCATTCCTTCCGGCAGGCAATGTAACCTTGTGTTATCACAATCAAGCAATTGCAAATTGCAAAGATTACCAATAGATGGTAACATTTCCAACATGCGGCAATTTTGTAGTATTAGAGCACGTAGCTGACGTAACTCGTTGACGGAACAAGGCAGTGCTCTAATACGAGTATAACTCAGGTTCAGAACTCTTAGAACTGGAAATGACAAAAAGAATTTATCGGGAATTTTCACAAGGGATTCATTGCGTTGCAAAAGTAAAGATGTTGTCTTTGGGCATTCCGTGAAGTTATCAGGTAGATATTGAATTCCTTGGGTTATGAAAGATAATCTCTTGACAGAAGCTGACACTACTTCAACATGTGAAATGTCAGTTAACCCAAAGGAATCATCAATCCATTTAGCAACATCACGAACCACATCATGCATCTTCACACAATCCATCTTATGGGCTTCTTCTAGTAAGCAGACATTTTTTAGATCCTCAATAATTGTGATTCCCCTGTTGTAAGCTTTTTCATATGTGTCATGTTCACCAAGGAACCCCTCTGCCCACCAGCAATGTATGAGATCATTTGTTGGAATAGACGCTGGATATAAGGAGCAATACAAGAAACAACTTTGAATGTCACTTCTCCTTTTGTTCCTATTGCTTCTTTGCTCTAAAGAATCAAAACTCCATTTGATGACCTGGTAAACCTTATCTCCTGTGTCTTTGTCATTAGGTTCAGACATTCTAAGTGATTCCAAAGCATCTTCCCATTCCTCGACCATGTTCTTCCCTCTCATAGATGCTCCAATAATAGTGATTGCTAAAGGTAAACCACCACACTCTTTTGCAATACCCATTGCTGATGGCTGAATATCCACCCGATTGGCAACGTCTCCCGCATTTTCAATAAACAGATGCCAAGATTCATCTTCATCCAATGTGAAAATATTCATTATGGTGTGTGTTTTCATTCCCTCACAAACCTTCCGTTTACGAGAAGTAATAATAACATTGCTTCCTGCGTGATCTTTGGGTTGGGGCACACCTACATGATCCAAATCTATAGCTTCCCAAACATCATCTAGTATCACAAGGAAACTCTTTTCCTGCTTAAGCCTTTGATAGATTTTGCTGGCATTGCTTTCTTCACTTCCCTGATCAGTATTTACCTCTAGGCTTAATCTGTCAGCAATTTGTGCTTGAACTTTTCTTATGTCTATTGGCGGTTTGGGTACTGTAACCCATATCACAACACCAAAAGACAGTTTAGACCTAATTGACACGTCAATCTGTTTAAGCTCATTGTTCAAATTCTTCACCAAAGTAGTTTTCCCAATTCCTCCTGCACCCCACACTCCGATGATGCCAACCTGACATACCCAAAAGAATAATTAACCCACAAGTGAAACATGCAACAATGGTTGGTAATATACAAGAAATTAGAGAAAGAAGGATTCTAGGAGGCTTTGTTTCAGCAATTGTCAAATTAAAAGATTAATTTCCACTTATTTATAATAGGAAAAAAATATACATAATATTATCTTATAGAGAAAATTTATTTTAAATATCTATTATAAAATATTTTTAATAAAAATTTTATTTTGTTAAATTAAAATGTACATATTCAAATTTTCAATCAATATTATACCTAGATGAATAAAAGAATAAATTAATATTGATATAATATTAATATAATGATTTAAATAAAATTTAAAATATCAAGCAAAATAAATTTAAAGAAATACATATATCCATATTTGAATATATATATATATATGTAATTATCATGCTGAAATTTAAAGAAATACATATATTTAGAAGAATAATATATTTAATAGGGCATGATTTGAAAAATATATAATAACTTTGTATATAGATTTAACTCTTTGAATTTTGATAATCTTATCACATATATAGATTATTTTAAAATTTACCTCTAATTTCAATTTATATTTGAGTAATATATATATAAAATCGATATTATGTTTGCTAGAATTCTCTTAAAAAATGGAGGGAAAAAAATTTAAAAAATTAGTTTCCTCATTCTTCTCTGGAAAATAGTGTAGTTATCTCCAAATATCAAGTATAAATTTGATATTTTTATGATTTACGTGGCCAAATTTTAAATTTTTTACGATTGTGTATCCTTTATCTTATACCAACAAGAAGTGTTATTTCTACATTCCTTCTTGAGTAGTTTCTTAAGATTAAAAAAAGAAATAAATAATTTAAAAGATTAAGCAATATAATTTTATGTGAGTAAGCCACACTAACGAATATTAAAACATAATTTAAAAAGATATTTTTTAATATTATAGCTTAGAATATAATTAAGTGTGATGTACACAAGTTACACACAAAATAATCATACAATGAATTCATGATCGTACTTTTTAAAAAAAATTCATATTAAAAAATATTTGAATTTGAACTAAAAAAAATTTAGAAATTGAACATACGCTAGGATCGAAATATTAGAAACACACCTTATCAGCTATCAAATTCTAAACAATTTAAGATTACTAATCTTAATTTAGTTGTAGTAATACCTCATCGTTTTCCAAGTGTTCGAGGATTTTGTCGAGATTCTTTCTTGCGGCTGGCTGGTCTTTTATTGATGGTCCTGGTAAGTGCTCAACTTTTTCCATACGGTAATTTTCTTCCATCAAATTGGATCCAAAGCTTTCTCCGCCATTTTTAAGACTGCAAAGTTTAACTTCGATATTATTCTGTGCTTGAGTCCAGACTTCAGAGCGGAGGCTGCAATTGGGACAACACCTATATGTAAGTGTCTTCGCTGCTGCAATGTTTTCTTGCATACTTTTCCATTCATTCTCCAGCTGGCAAACATCGTCGATCCACTTGATAACATCTGATTTTGGTTTATAGCCTTTTTCCTCAGCTTTTTCCACCTTTTCTTTCTTATCATCTCTTAACTCTTTTAGCGTCTCCATTTCCTTCGTTAAATTTTCAACATTTGATGAGAAATGGACAGTATTTTCAATATTAGGATAGATGCATTTACATACAAACTTTCCCACCTCAACAATAAAGCCACTTATAACATTAATAAGTATATCCATTGAACAATTCTTGAGGTAATGATGCTCTCTCAAACTGTTTGTTTAAGGCAGAAATTCAGAGAACTAAAAGAAAAAGGCAAACACAACTATTCGAGTAACTAGCAATGTAAAAATGTAAAGAGAAAATGGCTTCATATATAACCCAACATATTCCTTGTTATAAAAGTGGCTCATATATACTTTACTGTTACACAAATAACTCACATATACTCCTACCGTTACAATGACTTACATATACAAGTAAAAAAAATGATTTTTTATTTTTAAAAAACTAATGTACGGGTATATGATCCTTTTCACTCATATTTCTTTATTTATTTATTTCATTAGTTAGCGTAAAAATATGAGAGAAAAAGTGTGAATGAAAACACTATTCATTTCCCTTTTATTATGAAAATTTGTCTACCGGAAATTTTTAGTATACTTCCTCCGTCTCATACTTCCTCGGTCCCTAATTACTTGTCTATTTTTTCTTGTTTAGTTGTCCCTAATTATTGGTCCATTTTGACAAATCAAGAAAAAATAATTTTTTTTACCTATTGTACCCTTAATTAATTACTTTGAAAAAATCTTCGATTTTTAATTCATCTACTTCATAATTAATAGGGATAAAATGGTAAACTCACTATATCAATAATTATTTTCTTAATAGATATGTCAATTCAGAAGTGGACAAGTAATTACGGATAGAGAGAGTATTTGTCTATAATTCACATTACTAAAAATAGGTATCTTAATGATTTATCAATTTACAAAATCAAGATAGAATTAATTGCAATTTTTTTTAAACCTTTTTTGCTCTTACAATTAATTCTTTTTAAAAGTGTAAATAAATTTGTAAAATTTCAAAAAGTTTCTTAAGGGGTAAATAAGTAAAACTATTATTTTTATTTATAATTTCTTATAAAAACCTATAAAAGAGAAAGTGTGTAACTAATATAGAGCAAAAAGAGTAATAACATTATCCCTTAGGAAATGCTTATTTTTAGTCGGGAAAATTATGCAGAATAGCAAACATTTAGCCTATATTAGGTACTATAGCTATAGTTTAAGAAAATTGTAATTCGCGACTACAATTTTCCCAATTATTGTTATTCGTCTGATTTGTATAATTCGCTTGATTTGTATAAATCTAGAATTTGTGTAATTTGGTTCTTGATTGTATAAATCCAAAAATTTGTATATACTTAACCTAACTATTTGTATACGATTTATGAAAAATTCATCATAAATTACCATGTTTGTATATTGATAAGCGAAGTATACAAACAAAGTTCTAAATCTTTTTTGAATGTATAAATACAGAATTTGTATATACTTACGCTATTTGTATATTCACAAGAGAAATATACGAACATGCAGAAATATAAAAACCATACCCTTCATAGCAACAAAACTATATTTTGAAGCGCAATTATATTCAAAACTATAGCTATAGAGCCTTATTATATCTATTATGTTTGCTAATTCTAAATTTTTCTCTATTTAGTAAAGTTTCTTGATTTCATAAATGCCCATTTACTTAAATATGGGTAATTATGAAAGAAAATAATTAATATCTTCTTGTTTATACTCTTTTTATTTCATACTCCCTCCATTCCATATTAACTTAATTTTTGAGGTGTTTCACACCCTTTAAGAAAAGTAGATTAAGACATAAATTGAACCTAGTTTCCATTTACCCGTATTAATTATTGTCAAAGTTATGATTAAAATAACTAAATATTAATTAATCACTAATTCCCAAATACTAACTAATGAAAGCGTAAAAATTGGAAGAACACTCTAAAAAATAGTCTTGAAAAACTAGAACCAAATTAAGTTAATTTGAAAAAATGGAAAATGCCTCAAAAATTAACTTAATATGGAATGGAGGGAGTATTAATTATCCACATTATTATCGTATGCAAGGGAAGTCTCTTGATGCATTCAAGTGATTTAAATTCAAAAATTTAACGCCATTTTAGCTCAGGATATAGTTACATTATACACAAATTCATATGGAAATTTTCTTTCTGTATATATTATATTCTCCATATTGGGTGGTTACACCAAACAAACAAAAAAAATGTAAGACATGTGACTTTCATTCACACTATTTTTCGTAACCATGGTCTAAGTGATTTATTTATTCAATATGATTTTTAACTGTCAAGTTGAAATATTTTGATTTAATGTAAACACTAAATGCAAATAAGTTTGATTCTCTATTGTCAATCTATATTAAATGTTTTGACGGAAAATTCTTTTCACTCTCGAACTGAAACGGAAAGCTATTTTCAGAAAACATTTTCAAGAAAATGTTGAACTGAAACGGAAAGCTATTTTCAGAAAACATTTTCAAGAAAATGACTTCCGTCGTACCAAACAAACCAGAATGTGGAGCATTCCAAACGGCTTGAGATCCAACTACAACTAGACAGCATGCCGACCATAAATCCTAAAGTAGTGAAATTTCTTGTCGAGCAAGTTTTGAGCTGTTTACTATGGACCCTTTTACAACATGAGAAACCTCTTTCACAAATTTGAAGACAACATGGAAAATGAAGATTATGTGCTAAATTTAAGAATGTTTAATCGGCTCTGTTAGTTAGTTAGACATTTTATTTTACATACACATCAGGAATCGAAGAAGAAGAAATGGAAGTTCAGTTTTCTCTTTTCCAAAATTACGATTCGTTCATCTTCTTCACATGCTCTCATAGGTTATTAAATGATTATTTCTAAATCATTAATTTTCCCCTTTTCCGTTCGTACTATGTTAAACCAGCTGGCATGCACAAATACGAAGGAAAAAGAAGAAAAGGAAAGTCACTAGCAAGAGATAAAGATAATAAAGCAATATGTTTGTACTTTATTTAAAAAAGAGGCAGAATTATTGGAGTAACTAGCGATGTAATTCCAAAAGAGACGATTATGCAACACATCAGGGAGTAGGGACGGAGCTAGAATATAAATTATGAGTTCGGCTGAATCCAGTTACTTTGACTGAATCTCGTATTTAAATTAATACATATGTTGAATTTGTACAAATAATTAGTTTAGAACTCAATAACTTAAAAAAATTGATATTTCGAATCTTACTTTAAGCAACATGATTGAGAATAATTGAAGCCATCCACTGCAGAAGGACAACAAAAATATCAAGAGTCCCCACAAGTGAGGATTTTTCAATTTGGAGCACTAATGAATGTTTTTTAATGTTTCACCACTGAGCTGTCTATTTCAGTACAGCAACCAGCTATACATTTTCCTTTAATTTATTATGAAAATTTGTCTACCGGATATTTTTAGTATACTTCCTCTGTCTCATACTCCCTCTGTTCCTAATTACTTTTTTTTTTTTTTTAGTTATCCCTAATTACTTGTCCATTTTGACAAATCAAGAAAGAATAATTTTTTTTTTACCTATTATACCCTCAATTAATTACTTTGAAAAAAGTAGAACTTTTTGAAAATCTTCGATTTTTAATTCATCTACTTCATAATTAATAGGGGTAAAATGGTAAACTCACTATGTCAATAATTATTTTCTTAATAGATATGTCAATTCAGAAGTGGACAAGTAATTACGGATAGAGAGAGTATTTGTCTATAATTCACATTACTAAAAATAGGTATCTCAATGATTTATCAATTTACAAAATCAAGATAAAATTAATTGCAATTTTTTTAAAACCTTGTTTTCTCTTACAATTAATTATTTTTAAAAGTGTAAATAAATTTGTAAAATTTCAAAAAGTTTCTTAAGGGGTAAATAAGTAAAACTATTCTTTTTATTTATAATTTCTTATAAAACCTATAAAAGAGAAAGTGTACGTATAACTAATATAGAGCAAAAAGAGTGATAACATTATCCCTTAGCAAATGCTTATTTTTAGTCGGGAAAATTATGGAGAATAGCAAACATTTAGCCTATATTAGGTAATATCTTATGATCTCTGAGCAAGGAAGCATGAACTCGAAGTAGAACAATCGATAATAAGGCAATACAAAATGCATCATTAGCTTATAAAGAATGATGTCCTGTTTCTAATGCAGTCAATAAGAAGAATATTATCTATCAATCTACAAGTTATTAGATAACGCCACTAATGCTACTAAATGAGAAACGTTGCTGTTTGTATCTCAAAATGAAGTTCGAATTTTTGTAAATTTTCTGTTTTAACTTCAGGGCTGTTAACAAAGGCTTCTTATTCAAGCACTTCTTATGATGCTACAAGATCAGTTAGCAAGAATAATTTCTTAGAGGACACTTTCTCTTATAAGATAAACGGTACAAACCATACAAGTTTGTATTTTCGAGATAAATGGGTGCTTGATGCCTCTGACGATGAATATGGAGGAGTACTCGTCAACGCAGAAAGACTACCATCTGATCCCGACAAATTTACCTTTGTGCTTCGTGCATCTCTCTCTCATTGGAAAGTGAAGGTACTTCATTTCCAGCAACTACTATACTATACTATACTATACTAGTCTCAAATTTCAAGACTCAATTTCTTGTCTGGTGTTGATTATTACACGAGTGAAAGCCACCACATTTCATAATTTTTCTTATTATTTTATAGACAACTCTTGTGCCAGATAGCCTGGTGAATTCATATAGACGGAACCCCAATTTGTTTAGGAATGAGGCGTAGTAATTTTTGGTGTATTGAAAGTAAACTTATATAACACCTTTTGCTCATTGATGGCTCCCGATGATGCAGGGGAAGAAGGGAGTTTGGCTTAAGCTACCACTAGAAAAATGTGATCTAGTTCCTGTTGCAGTAAAGGTATTTCCTTTTTGTTGATGCATTGTAGTAAAGGTATTTTGCACTATCACTTCACCCAAATTGATACAGGAAATTACTCAATCGTTTAGCTTTTCTTTGTTATCCCTGGCTAGTAGTGATTGTCTCATTACTCAAAGAATACGTTGATACAAATACATGAAGAGAATAGGCTAACTATACTATCTTATACACAATAATATACAGCTCTAGTGATTTTGTAACAATCGAACTCTAAATTTTGTAGGAAGGATTTCAATACCATCATGCAGAAAGAGGATATGTTATGATGACTTATTGGATTCCGGAGGAACCCTGTATGCTTCCTTCGAATGCATCACATCAAGTTGGAGTTGGGGGTTTTGTGATCAACGATAAAAATGAGGTGTGTGTTTTTCTGTTTGCAATGCCTTCCTAATTAGTAGTAATATTTATGAGCTTCTAAATTCTCTGTGTAGTCTCTTAGGCTAATAAATTTTTGCTTTAGGTGCTTGT